GGGGGGCTGGGGTCTGGCCCACAGGAGGAGTTTAAGGAGGTTGCAACCCTGCTGTAGGGGTTCATACTTATCAAGGAGTGTGCTGAAAGGCTTCGCTGCAGTGGGCACAGCTGTTTATTGACAAGGACGCCCTCCGTTCTCTTATTTTCGTTTTTTTCTAAAACTTTGTAAAAATATAACCCACATGCTATTTAACTTACCCATTTAAATGTACAATCCAGTGGCTTTCGGTATATTCAGAAAAATCACGCGTCCATCCCTACCTCCCTCTGTTGAAAGCTGTTCCTCTCAGACATCACCTACAACTCTAGCCTGTCCAGTCTCTAGCCCTCATGACCAGTAATCTACTTTCTGTCTCTAGGAGTTTGCCTTTCTAGACTTAAAAAGTATTACAACTGTTTATTCATTCATTTATTTGTTTGTTTGCTTATTAATTATGTGCTATGTTATGCATGTAGATGTCAGAGGACAACTTGCAGGAATTGGTAGAAGGGAGATCCCAAGATCACACTCAGGTCATCAAGGTCAATGACAAATGGCCTTACCCACTGACTCATCTTGTCGGCCCGTAGACGTAGACCCATTCCAAGGAGTGGCATACAAAGGTTGCATAGTAACTGTAGTCGTTTTCTTTTGCCAGTCAGGGCAAAGCTTCCTCTGTCTGAGTGTCACACTTCCAAACTTCCCTTGTCTCTGACCCTGGGATTCTCCCACCTAGCTCTCTGGCCTCACAAATTGCCAGGAGAAGCCAGTAGAATGCTTTCTGGGCAGCGGAGGGGAGGGATTCCCAAGAGGCCATGGCATTCATGTCACCCTCGTGACTAGTGAATGCTGTTGCTTTGATTTTTATTATTACCATCTTTATCTCTTCTCGACCGGGACTCTGAACCCCAAAAGTTAGGGAGACCAGTTGTATGAAGCTCTTCCTGCCTCCTTCCTCTTTTTTATATCAAACCCGTCGGCACCTATAGAATTAACTCGCCTACTCAGCAGGTGAGATTTAAAATTGTTTGAACTAGAGAATATTGAGCTGGTGGAGACTTAAGAATCATCTAATGGCTGGGAGTGTCACTCAGTGGTAGAGCATGTGGTGGCATGTGTGAGGCCCTGGGTTTATTCCTAGCAGCATCGACAGAGACTCATTTACGTTAGTGATTTTTGTTTGTTGACTTTGGTTTACACTTGCAGAGCTGACAATATAGTTCAATGGTAGAATGCTTGCCTGGCATGCATGAGGCCATAGGTTCAATTCCCAGCAAAACATAGAGAGCATGAGTATACACACACACACATACACACACATTCACTTCTGTTGACAACCCAACCCCCCCCCCTTCCCGGTGTGGGACAGCCCTTGTTGCTGCTGGTGGTGTCATCACTGAAGATAGACAGCCAGAGAACCATGTCTCCATGAGTATAGACATGCTCAGAAGGACAGGCAGCTCGTTTCTCCCCAAAGAAACAGATGACTGTCATTGCAGCTGGACTGTAATAGAGGACAGTGATGTACCTTTTAAAGTACAGGGATTGGAATTCAGTAACTGGTTTGGATGTCAGTCAGCAAAACTGCTGGGAGTCATTCATAAGAGGAAATGCAAGCTTAAAGTCTGACCATGGAGAACGAGTGAGGAGTCATTTCTGTAGCAACAAACTCACACAAGTGTATTTTCTTCACTGTTGCAAACCTGCAGATTTTATATTTCCTTGACATAATATATTGTTAAAATTTGAATGACCTATTCACTGCTTCTTGGAATGTAACTTACAAAAACATTTTGTGGGGGTGGGTGCAATTTCTATTTTTTTTGTTTGTTTCACTGCCGAGGACTGAGCCCAGGGCCAGACACTCTACTACACTGACCTGGTTCCCAGGCCCCCAGACTTTAAATCTGGCCCAGAAATTACATTGAAAAAAAATATCCTACTGAGATTGCACAAGTATGCAGAGTTGTAGAGGCAGAAATGTTCGAGTCAGCACTATTTGTACTGGGACATACTGGAAGGCATCCAAGTCTGATCTCCTGGAGGCAAATGCGTAGGGTACACCTATACAGTTCTGTATCCCACAGCCCTGGGAAGAGTGCTAGATCAGCTAGCAGCCTGTGTACGTGAGCTGGGAGGGCCATCTAAGATTGGTGTTAAGTGCAGAAAGTAGTATTCCTAACAAAGCAAGGCACGCTACCCTTGATGCACATCTTAACAAAGGCAGAGAGGGAACCTGCTGAGTGTCCACAGCAAGTGTCAGCCCAGGGAGGGCTATCAGAGGACTTCCACTTTCTAATTTAGAGTTCCATAGTGCTTGTGGTTTCCATTGAAGCAGATGATCCTTTTGGGGTGGGGGCAGTTAGACTACTAAGTGAAATATGAAGGCCTAGGGGTCTGCTTACATCCCCAAAAGGATGTAATTTGTATTTGCTGTGTTATTCCAATCTTATCTTTAAAAACGCACAGAACAAAACTTGAAGGTACAGACCGTGGCTGCTGGGGTGGAGGGACTATGGTGGACTGGACTGTTCTTTTCTGTATTTGTCAAGTAGTTTTTAATTAATCCTAAAGTAGCTTTCAGACTGGAAGGGAAAAAAAATTATGGGCTTTGCAGAGATTGGAAAGCCTCCTGTAAGGGAGTCCTAGTGCCCCGCCCCCACCCGTGTGTGTGTGTGTGTGTGTGTGTGTGTGTGTGTGTGTGTGTGTGTGTGTGTCTGTGTGTCTGTGTGTGTCTGTGTGTGTGTGTGTCTGTGTGTGCGTGTGAAGCCTCGGCTGCTTTCCCTGGCTAATTCTATTTTTAACAGGGTCCCCAGGAGGGGTCCATGCTAGGAGAGTGGGCAGTGTGCAGCCCTGCTGAGACCTGGGAAGCTGGACTTCTTCCAAGGACAGCCAGGATGCTGAGAGACACCGGTGGTGACAAAAGCAGTCTAAAATTGCTGTCTCCTGACTGCCCCTTCCCTATCTCAGAGCTCCCTCTGGCCTGTCTTGCCCAGATGATGCCCAGTCGTCTATCCATTATCTTCCCCATCAGGAAGAATCCAGTGGCTTGAAAGGGAGTTTGGGTCTTGGTGATTCTGGGGAGGCCTCCAAGCAAAGATTTAAGTTTCTTTGGGGCAAAGATTTGAGTTTCTTAGGGGCAAAGATTTGAGTTTCTTAGCAAGAGAACCCCATGGACTAGGGGTGTTGGTTCAGAAACGGCAGGGAAGAGTTCACTTTGGTTTCCCTAAAGCAATAAAATGGACTAAAGAAAGTTAAAAATGGGAAGGTGCTGGGTCTGTCTGTTTTTCGTAGCTGTAACAAGACAACAGAGGTGGGATAGTTAATAAAGAATAGGTACTGGCTGGGTATCTTGGCACACACTTTGAATCCCACCACTTGGGAGGCGGAGACAGGCAGATCTTTATGAGTCTGGGGCCAGCCTGATCTACATAGAGAGTTCTAGGATAGCCAGGGCTACACTATGAAACCCTGTCTCAAAAAGGAAGAAGTGGAGGAGGAGACAATTAATTAGTTAAAACTTTTCTTGTTAACTAGAAGTGTATTTAGTTTATAGGACTGGATCCCAGGAGTCCGAGAGCACTATCCTGGCATCTCCCATGCATCTGGCACGAGAGGGCATAAAGAGATGCAGTGTCTGTATTAACTCCGATCTTTTCCTCTTGTCTGGAGCTACTGGTGCTCCGTGGGGCTTGGAATCAGGCTCTAGCTCCCTGGCCTCCTCTACTCTAGTTATCTCCCAAGGTTCCCATCTGTAAATACCATCCACAGGAGAGTTCAGGGATTGAGTTTCCAACACGGGAGGTTGGGGGGCAGCTCAGACCCCAGCACATACCACAATGCCGTTTAATAGCCTTTCTTCCTCTTCCTTCTCTTCCGCTTCCTCCTCCTCGTTTCTCCTTCTTGTTTTGAGACAGATCTGTGTAGCACTGTCCGCCCTGGTACTTTCTAGGATGACCTCAAACTCGTGGTAGTCACCTGCTTCAGCTTCCCAAGTGCTGGGTCTACAGATGTGCACCAATATGCCTAGCCGTCTGAGTCTTCTAAATGAAGCAGGCCTTGCCATAGTTGTCAGGTTTGGGTTGGCCAGATCACAGACTGCATCTTGCACTAGCGTAAGAGTGAGCCTGTGTTCTGTTTCTGTGGGGGTGGGGGTTCCTGCATGGAGGAGCTGCTGGGTGAAGTTAAGGATGAGGGTTCTGTTGTTTTCTCCTAGTATAGCTCTGCAGCAGGGTGCCTTTTACAAACGTCTGTCTGCACGGTGTTATATCAGGAAATCAGTGCCCTGGCCGGCTCTCACTCAGATGTGTAAGCTCGTTCAGCTTAAGGAAGGAACATTTTCTCAGAATGCCTCGTGTATGCCAGGCAAACACTCTGTCAATGGACTATACTCCAGGCTGTATCATACCACGTTTTATTTATTTTTTAAATTCTTTTGTGATAATGTCTCATTATTTAGATCTGGCTATCCTGGAACTCTGATGACCAGGCTGTCCTGAACTCACAGAAATCCACCTGCCCTGCACTCATACTTTATTTTTAAAAGTTGTTCTCGTGTGTGTGTGTGTGTGTGTGTGTGTGTGTGTGCGCGCGCGCGCGCGCGCACATGTACATGCACATGGGCTTAGGTGCCTGAAGAAGCTAGAAGACAGCCTTCTGCAGCTGGAGTTATAGGCAGTTGTGACGTGACTGCTGAGAACCAAACTCAGGTCCGCTGCAAGAACAGTGCATGTCCTTAACCACTGAGCCACCTCTCCAGCCCTCAAAAAAAAAAAATCTTATTTTCTCTTTCAACATTTTGGCAGCAAGGGAAGAACTGTGTAATTAACATGTCAGTGACTTCTGTACACAAGCTAAGCCTGTGAGAACACACTGGGCCCCTCTGGGACTGTTCTTGATAGGACAGAGGATGAGAATCCTTTCTTTTGAATGCTGTGGTCCTCCCCAGGGGACATCACTGGGGAAGAGGCAGCTGGCTGCCCTTGGCCTGGGCCTAACGCTCCCTTTGCCTTCTGCAGGAAGCCTGGAAGCATGCGATAGAGAAGGCCAAGCACATGCCTGACCCCTGGGCTGAATTCCATCTTGAGGACATCGCCACAGAACATGCTACTCGGCACAGGTTAGCGGTTTGTCCCGTGGGCTTTGAAGAGTCCTTGTGGGGACTTGGCAGGGTGGGGGAGGGATTTGGGGTCCTGCTTCTGGTCAAAGAAAAGGAACTAATATAGTACCCCAATTTCAGATTCTTACAGCATGTGGGATTGTTAGAGTTAGAGAGGTCCAACCAGTTAAGTCTGTGTAAATGTTCAAAATTGGAAGCAGTCTGAAATGTGAAAAACTTTTGATCCTAAATGTTTTAGATAGGAAGGGGGTGAGGCAGCAAAGGTGCATTTATGTTCTGTTTGAAGTTGGTTGAGAGTTGGGCAGCTCCTCAGGGATCCAGGTTCCTTCTGACCCGTGACACCATCATCCCAACTTTTATCCTTGCAAACACCAGTAGAGACAGGCAGGCAGTATCAAGCAGGTTTTGATGCCTGGTCCTGGTAGTGACATGACTTTTTCTTGGCTAGCACTCTGTCCTCTCCATCATTCCTGCTCCCATTCTTCAAGGAGATGGCTGCAGAACCTCCCATGTGCCTCTTTTCCTACTCAGGGAGCCCACCTCCCAGTATGGGGGCAGGATAGGTCAGCATAGTAGAGACCCCAGCATGTGAGGGATAAGTAAGTTCTGCCTCTTTCTACCTGCAACAGCTCTGTGGTAGCAAGCTGCCCAGGCCCTGGGAACTCTCCAAGGAAAGAGAGTCCTTACACAAGCTTGGCTCTGTCTCTTGAACTCCAGCAGGGACCTGAGACCAGGCTGAACTATTTACTTCCTAAATAAATGGCTGAGTTTATACTACCCAGACTGCCAGTGAGAGGATGCCAACATGGCTGGCTTTCTAGAACATTCTGATCCCTTGACTCCAGGCATGGCTGTCTGGATCATTCTGAAAACGGAAGCTTCCTTCTTTGGCTATAGCTTTTTAAGGTTAAAAGTCTTGGTACAAGCTGGCCCTTTGTTTAGAATAGGTTTTCCTGTCTTTGTGAACTGTTTCCAGGGTGAGAGTGAGATTCTGCTGTAAACAAACCTGGGTTTGAATTCTGATGCTCAGGCAAGAGACCTCACCTCTGAGCCAGTTTCTATAAAACAGCACAAAAATTGTCACCATCTCAGGGTCTCTGCAGAGATTATATGAAACAATCTGTTTAAGAACCCAACATATAGTGAACACTCCATAAACTTTAGGCACAGTAGGCATTTAGTCATTCATTCACTCATTCATTCATTCATTCACTTACTGTGTTACTGGAAATCAAACTTTATATAACACACACACACACACACACACACACACACACACACACACACACACACACACACACACATATATATATATATATATATATATATATATATATATATATATATAT